AATACTTTTTTTTTTAAATTCTACTTTTAGATTTAGATTTAATATAAATAAACTTAGTAATTTGTTGTGTATTCTTTTTTGGAAAAAAATCATTAATATTAAATAATAATAATAACAAAAAAAATATAATAATAAAAAAATCAGTAAATGTTTGAATTTATAATTTTTTCATTAATATTTTGCTTTTTAATTTGGCCATCACGCATACCATATAATTTAAATATATTGAAGCATAGAGGACCTTGTAGGAAAAAATATGTACTAATATTGCTCAAAACAGAAGGCTTCTATGTTGGCATAACTTATGTTCAGAATGCTGTTGCAAAAGGAGCAGGTTAAAATCTTCTTCATAATAAGCCAATTTAAATTTTTTTTACAATCTTGACTATAATGTGTTTGGGATTCTGATATTGTGCAGTTTGTTTGGATGGGTCTCCCCCGGCTTACCATCTTGATAAGGGGTTTGGAGCAGGAATTAACAATTGGTTGGTTCATTTTGAGGTTGGTCCTTCATTTACCATTTTGTTTTACAATACAAAAATGATTTGTTTGTTGTTAAGAAGATGATTGAAAAGAAAAATAAGAATTGTGAAATCATATAAGATACCCAATTTTCTGCAGATTGATGGTGGAAGGAAATGAAGTTTGTACAAAGTGGGATGATAAAGTAAGAGCTTGAAATGTAGATTTAATGAATTTGGATCCATACCTGTTATATTAGCAACCTATATATATGTTTGCATATAAAATTTACTAAAATTAAAAACCGAAGAAAAAAATGGGAGCCAAACAGGGGTAGTTAATATCAATATGCTTCAAGAATTATATAGAAGCTTAGCTTCAAGGATTATATACTGTCTTATACCAGTATAGAGAACTAATTATAGAAGTATAGTGGTCTGTTGAATATTTTCTAAACTAACCGAGCAGGATGTCGAGCAGCTGAAGTGATGTCGCAGCCGGAGTGAACAACGGTAAGAGTGGTCAGAGTGATCCACAGGAGCTCTGATGAAGGCAAAAGCTGAGAGAGGAAAAAAAAATTCAAGAAGAAGTTAATAATACTTTTCCATATATCTATAGATTGGTCTGTGCAGAAGTTAAAAAATTCAAGAAGAAGTTTAGCTTTCTTTATGTTTGAATTCAAGTAAAAGAAAAGAAAAGAAAAGAAATTCTGCTGGAAAGAAATTCTATAATATTCAAGTTAACTGCTGGAAAGAAATAATATTGAGATACAATATGAGTTTGAGAATCACCAAATATGTATTATAGATTTCAAATCTAGACTAAAATATATTATGGTGTTGATATGAATATGAATGTTTAGCAGGTTCTAATTGTAAAATTTGTAAAGTAAAAATAAGAGTTTGAGAATCACCAAAAACATAATTGACTTACTACCAAAATTTACTGACTAAAAATTTGAATGGATACCTTTTTTTCATCAGTAACAACAATAAAATAAGAAAAGATTATAGTCATGTTTCTCAATATTTTCATGGACAAAACATGTACATTCAAAACAGATTAGATGTACCATAATTTTTTTTTTAATTTTCTTAAACAATTACAGAATCCATATACAAATTAAAAATAAACAGTCAGTGTAGATTACAGAATTACAGAATCTATATACAATTACAGAATCTATACAATTACAGAATCTATATTAAAAATCATAACAAATTACAGAATCTATATTAAAAATCATAACAAATTGTAATCTGTTAACAGAATCTATATTAAAAATCATAACAAATTGTAATCTGTTAACAGAATCTATATTAAAAATCATAACAAATTGTAATCTGTTAACAGAATCTATATTAAAAATCATAACAAATTGTAATCTGTTAACAGAATCTATATTAAAAATCATAACAAATTGTAATCTGTTAACAGAATCTATATTAAAAATCATAACAAATTGTAATCTGTTAACAGAATCTATATTAAAAATCATAACTATTAAAAATCTAATGCATTTCATACTTCACATTCCTTCTATTTAATAGATTTGTACACCATACTTTTGCTAGAAAGAAGTTTATTGTGGTAGCAAAATTTTAAGGTCTTAATCCAGACCTTGAACTGCAAACTACATTCTATTCAATTGGAAATTTACTCACAAAACCAACAGTATTAAAAAAGCTCATCAACAAAAGAACATAAAAAAGCTCATAAAAAAGCTCAACAGCACATGTAAAGTACCACCTGGCCCCCTGACCCAAGAATGCAAGGAGTTTTGGACACAACTGGCACTGCCAGGTGATTTTTGTAAAGTACCACCTGGCTACCATAAGTGTTTTGATTAATTTTTAATTTGATTCATTAAACCCAGAATTTCATCATAATGAAGTACTTAAAATTTAATCATTAAACCCACAACTGGCACTGCTCACAAAACAACATAAGGAAGTTAGGAAGAATTAGGATTCCTCAATGTTGCTTCTAGTCCAAAAGCTATAGGAAAACTCACTTGTTATCATGCCAGCCCACCAAAGTGGCTCATACAAATATGAATAGCCTCCAACACCTGTAAAAATAATTAGCAAATATAATAAACGTATGTTCATCCAACTTCAAAGTGGAAAATTGAACAATTTAAGGCAGACTATACAATAAGTGACACTTAAAAAAAAGAAAGAAAAAAGATTATACAATAAGCGACATGTTATAGAATGTATCTTATCATGGCATGCTAAACATAATCTATGTTTTGGCCATTACCGTAGCCAAAAAAAATGACAGAACATAACAGTATATTGAGAATGGAAAAAGAGCTCTCTCTCTCTCTCTCTCTCTCTCTCTCTCTCTTCTTTTGTGGTTGTTCAGGGGACCAGGAGAATTTGAGCAAAGCTCACACTTCAATGATTGTGTCAAATCATTGATGAAGTTATGATTTTCCACTTAAATAAACTCTGCCTTTTAGTAATGGAAACACAGATTTTAACACAAAATTGTTATATATAAAATTGACTGAGTTACACCGTGTGGGTAAGTCAAATTTGAAACACTGATTTTCAAATTATATATAAAATTGACTGAGTTACACTCTGCCTTAAAAAAACTCTGCCTTTTAGTAATGGAAACACAGATTTTCCACTCAAATTGTTATTATTTTACTCGATGACTACAGGAAGTCAAATTTGATTTCAGAATTTCATGACTACAGGAAGTCAAATTTGATTTTGTGATTTCAGAATTTGATGACTACAGGGAGTGATGAACTAACCCAACAGAGTTATTTTAGATTGAGTTATTTTAGCATGAGTTATTAACACTTTCTTTAAAAAAACAGGAAACGGTTGCCAATAAGCAATAATATGTATGAAAGTGATAAACTAACCCAGTGCCAAAGTGATGAACTAACCCAGCAGCCGAAGTGATGTCGAGCCGGAGTGAACAACGGTGAGAGTGAAACGGTGTAAGCTCTGATGAAGGCTTTGATGAAGACTGTGATGAAGGCTGTGATGAAGGCAAAAGCTGAGATTTAAAAAAAAAAATCAAGAAGAAGAACGGAGAGGAATAGAGAGATAGAGAGGGTAGGTAGAGAAATAGAGAGGGAATATGGGTAGACAGAGGGTAGATAGGGAGGCAAATCATTTGTGATGGGAAGACAAAGGTTAGATACAGAGGTTAGATACTGAGAGAGAAGAGTGGAGAAACAGCCATGTTGGGCGGGAAACAGAAATGTGGAGAAACAGAAATGTGTAGAATTGATCTCAGCCATTGGATAGATATTACAATTGATCTCAGCCATGGGATCAAAATGTATCTCACATACATTTGAAGACATTTTCAAAATCCCTCTTGCCTTATTATATATATATATATATATATATATATGAGAAGATAACACTATAATATTTTCTTAGTTTAGTGACATTTAAAAGTGCCACAAAATTATTAGTTTAATGATATTTTTTAGTCTTGTGATATTTTGAACAAGTGCCATTTGTATCCGTGCCACGGTAGATACTTATAAGTGCTACTACCATTATGGCTAAAAACTTTCAATGACATTTTGATGTCATGGTAGATATTATTTGTGGCACTATCAAGCGCCATTAAAAAAAAAGTTAATAACACTTATAAGTGTCATTACACCATCAAGACTAAAACCTTTCAGTGACACTTTAATGTCATGGTAAGCACTATTCGTGACGCTATCAAGTGTAATTCATGACAATAATTTATGGTAGAACAATTTGATCCGCTCTTGTGGAGACTCGAACCCCCAACCTCCCGCACCATAAACCTTATACACCACACTCTTCCCACTACACCTTTATAGCACCACATGATTATATATGCAACATATATTATTTATATAGTATATACATCCATATTAATATAAAAGTATATGTATAAACATAAATATTTTATTGAACATAATTTATGTAAAATAAACTATTTACTAGCAAAATAAAAAAAAGACTATTTTTGGCCACTAAAAATATTTTTTAGTCGCCAATTCTATACTTTTAGCTACTAATTATTTTTTAGTTGCTAAAAAACTTAACTTTTGCCGATTAAAATCAGATTTGGTCGTCGAAGATGCACTTTCAGCTATCAAAATTTTGATCGCCAAAAAATTTAATTCCCGCCTTAGGATTTTAGTTCTCCCGCACTAAAAATGACCACTTTTGGCGACTAAACTTATTTTTTAGTCGCTAATTGTAGACTTTTTTAGTCACCAAAAAGTTTTATTTTTGGCTACTAAAATTTTTTTAGTCAGTAAAACCTATATAATCAGCGACCAAACTTATTTTTAGTCGCCAATTGTAGACTTTTGGCTACTAAATTTTTTTAGTCGCCAAAAAGCTTTACTTTGGGCTACTAAAAAATTTTTAGTCACTAAAACCCATATAATCAGCGACCAAACTTAGTTTTAGTCGCCAATTGTAGACTTTTGGCTACTAATACTGTTTTCCAATTTTTTTTTGGTCAGGAAATTTAGTCGCTGAATGTGTTTTTTCCCGTAGTGTATATTGAGTTTTATTTATTTATTTTTAATCATTTACTGCATTTAAAAAATTTAGAAAATATATTTGCATTTTTTATTTTTTCAAAAATGTCATTATAAGCTTGGAAAGTTTTTGGCTTAGTGGCATTTCTCAAAATGTTATAAAATATTTGTTTATGACACTTTTCACCTAAGTGCCATAAAAAGTAATTTACACCCACCTAGTGTCCTGACATTTTTTAAAAAATGCCATTGATATTAAAGTTTAGTGGCATCTGTTGATAAATGTCACGAACATAATTTTTTATGTCATTATTTTATAAAATGCCATAAAATTGATGTGACATTTTCTTTATTGAAATGCCACTAGAGCCTTATATTTTTGTGGTTCTGTGACATTTTTCTAAAACATTTAAGCCAATTTTTATTTTTGTGGCATTTTCTAAAAACATACCACTAGTGTAGTGTCACTAAAGTGTAAATTTGTTGTAGTGGCGTTTTTGTTGGAGTAAAGTGACACTTTTT